TCACTTATTGGATCTAAACTTGACTTGATGATTTGATCAGTTTGATAATGTTCGTAGAAGAATTATGTCCGTTCAATGGAGAATTGAATCCAATCCCATCTTCATTCACAACCAATGTTCTACTGTATTTTCTCAATAAAAATATCATCATTCAACGACATTATATTGTTTAGAATTTTTAAGTGCCAAATAAAAAAACAAAGTCTCAAACACAATTTGATAATGATTAAGCTCATTATCTTTTTATTAATAAAATAATGTTTTGAAAGTTGTTTCTGTACATTTTTCACCAATAATTGCTTATGTTCATTTAAAAAAGCATGAATTAAGCTATAGACTGCTTGATTTTTTCAATTGATTTTTCATGAATTTTGTTTAAGTGTAATTTTTTTTCTCACTTAGTTTAATTTACTTTTAAATCACATCAGGGTGTACCCAGTTCTGCCTTGAGGGAAATTTGTTTGCTCAAAGAATTGAACCACAAGAATATTGTTAGGTCAGATTTCCAAATTAAACTGCAAAATATATCGATAATAATTTTAAATAATGATAATAATGTTAATGATAATAATGATGATGTTGATAATAATAATAATAATAATCTAAAAGGTAATAGTTGTAATAAAATGGATTCACGATCAGGTTGTGTGATGTGTTGCACAGTGAGAAAAAGTTAACTTTGGTATTCGAATATTCTGATCAAGACCTTAAAAAATACTTCGACAGCTGCAACGGGGAGATTGATCCGGACACTGTCAAGGTTTCATCTCCACTAGAAATATCGCATTTTTTTCATGCAGATAACAATTTATTAAAATATTATAATATAATATAAAAAAAATTATAAATTATAAAATATTATTTATTCTGTTTCATTTATTTATTTTTGGACAATTTATTTACACTTGGTTGATTGATATTAAAATGAGTTTGATTGGTTTGGAGTGTTTAATTTTATTTTCTTTACCACTTGGCAGTCCTTCATGTACCAACTATTGAAGGGGCTGGCTTTTTGTCATGGGAGAAATGTTCTACACAGAGATCTGAAACCTCAGAATCTTTTAATCAATAAAGTTATTTGGATTTTTATTATAATTCATGGAATGTTAACATTATAATATTATTTTACTGTAAATTTGCTTCAAAACTTACTATAAATATTATTTTTTAATTAATTTTTTATATGAGAGTTATTTGAATGGGCGTTAAGGAAGAAAGGAGTGAATGAGAGACTTGTTAAAGCTGTGATGCAAAGACAAGGGGCAAAGACAAAGGTGAGGGTTGGAAGGGGGATGTCGGACGCTTTTAGTGTTAAGGTAGGAGTGCATCAAGGATCAGTGTTATCACCGTTTCTGTCTGCAATTGTGATGGATGTTATGTGTGGAAACATAATGGAGGGGTTGTTATTTGAGATTTTGTATGCAGATGATTTAGTCTTGATGGCTGATAGCATGGAAGAATTGCAGTTAAAATTTGACAGATGGAAAAGTGTTATTGAAAAGAAAGGGTTAAAAGTTAATATTGGTAAGACAAAGGTAATGGTGAGTGGGGAAGGTGGGGAGCGAGTGATAAGTAAAATAGACCCCTGTGGGGTATGTGACAGGAGAGTGAAGGCTAACTCGGTATTGTGTATAGGATGTCAGAAATGGGTGCATAAGAGATGTAGTGGTGTGAGGGGGCACTGAAAAAGGTGGAAGGCACGTTCAAATGTAAGAAATGTGTTCATGGTGTGATTAATAGGACGGACGCAAGGACGGGGTTGAGTGGTGGTATTGAAAGAGTGGAAAGCTTTGTTTACTTAGGGGATAAGCTGAACGCGGATGGAGGATGTTTGAGCGCGGTTACGGCTAGAGTTCGTGTAGGATGGATGAAATTTAGGGAACTGGGTGGGGTATTGTGTGGAAAGAAATGGTCAGTGAAGATGAAAGGGAGGGTATATAAAGCATGTGTGAGAGCAGCGATAGTATATGGTGGTGAAACTTGGGTGTTGAGGAGAGAGGAGGAAAGTGTACTGCAGAGGGCTGAAAGAGCTATGGTGAGGATGATGTGTTGAGTTAAAGTGAAGGATAGGAGGAGTAGTACAGAGCTGATGTAAATGATGGGAATGAATGAGGACATTGTGACATTGATAAGGAGATCGAGATTGCGGTGGTATGGACATTTGTTGAGAAGGGATGAAAGGGTCGGGATTAGGCGAACGTTGGAGTTTGAGGTTGAAGGAGTGGTAGGAAGGGGTCGTCCGCGATTGGGATGGAGAGAGCAGGTGGAGAAGGACAGGGTGAAAGCGGGGTTGCGTGATACTGAGGCGAGTGACAGATGTGGATGGCGTCGAGGGGTATTTCGGTTTCATCATAGGTAGCCAAACGGCAACCCCCGATCTCGGGGAAAATGTCGTCTAAACGTGTGTTGTTTATGAGAGTCATTTGAATAAGTTGAGGCATTTATATTATTAATTAAATAGAATTTATTCGCATGTATACTCTAGATTTTATGTAGGAAATCTAATATAATGAAATTAAATTTTTTAAAGAATGGAGAGCTGAAACTTGCAGATTTTGGATTGGCCAGGGCTTTTGGCATACCAGTTAGATGCTACTCTGCTGAGGTGTTCTTAAAGTTTTCAAATATTTTTAGATTTTCAATTAATTTGCTATATTTATTTTGCCTCAATAATCTACATATTGTTTTAAAATTTTTAGTGTGCCGTGATTAATTTATCATATTTATCGATTTTTGAGTGGATAAATGTATTTAAATTTGGCTATCAACTGAAAACTTTATTTCCTATCGTCTTTTTATTATGAAGGAAATCTTATTTTATGGTATAATTTGTCATGTCATGCTTACTTCATGTTGCTATATTTTAACTGGCCATAGTCAACCAAATATTTGATTTTTAGATTTATACTATATAACATTTTTATACTAATTTTAATTTTATTCGTTATTTCCAACTGAGATTTTGAATTTGGAAAATGATTAAATTTTGTAAATGGAGCAAGTATATTTATGAAAAAAAGATTTAACACCTAGCTGAAATAAACCGGCCACACACAGGTTGTTACACTCTGGTACAGACCGCCAGATGTCCTCTTTGGTGCAAAGTTGTATTCAACCTCAATCGACATGTGGTCTGCTGGCTGCATTTTTGCAGGTCCTCATAACGTGTATTTATATATCTTCATTCAGTGTTGCTGCTAGGGGATCTGTTGTAACGTCTTTTTGACGAGCACAGATTGCCATACAGCTTTTATTTTTTGTTCTTATAAGAAATAAAACCGTTAAGAAATTTTATTTTATTTTCTTTTTCAATATATGATTCACCAGTTCTATAGCCAGCACTAATACTACATTATTGTAATAACTTTTTTTATATCTAGTTCTGAGCTACTGTGTCAAAATGCTCAATATGATTTTATTTAAAGTAATTCTTAAATATAGTTTTTAATCAGAATAATTATTGAATATGATTTTTATTCAAAATAATTCTTAAATTTTCACATTTTCGTTTTGGTTGCATGTTTTACCAATTTTCTTATTTTCCAAACACAAATTTTGTTAGAATTAGCAAATGCTGGACGGCCACTGTTTCCTGGAAACGACGTTGATGACCAACTAAAAAGAATTTTCAAGTTAGTTTTTTACTTGATGTTCACTTTCTAATTACTTCAGGTAAAATTTAGATCATTATTTATGAATTAGTTGATTATTTATGTGAATTAGTTAGTTCCTTCACTCGTTTTTGAAAACAATCTTTTTTCTTTTGCAATCCGGTACTACTATCAAAGCATGAGCATGTTATAAAGCGAATCAATAGTTTTTCCAAAATGTTGCTATTTGCTTGTTTTTAATTATACAGAATTATTTGTGGAATCATCTGTTTCATATTTCAAAAATTATTTATTTTAAAAAACGTCATGAAAGTTATCAAAAAATCATAATTATCCAAAAGCTACCTGATAACCAATTTAAAAAAATATAAAATTAAGGTAATATGAAAACATTAATATATATTAAAATCAATTGTAATTTAATATCATATCACGAACGTAAAAACAGTATTATGAACTTGTAATAATTAATGGTTGCAGTAATAAGTCTTGATCATTATTATTTTAAGTTTGATAATTAAGTTAATAATATTTGTTATAGATTTCATTTTATGAAATTTTTTTTAAATCATTCCTAAAAATTTTCCCATTTAATAAAAGCACAGCATATTGTCAATCAGTTATATAAGCCTGAACTGAATAAAGTTTCCTGTTGAACTCATCACTGCACAGTTCATTGAAGAAGTTAACAGTTATGTATTATATATGTTGATGAAACATTCAGACGTCAAATGTACAACGTGATAACGCTGATGTCTATTTGTAATAAAAAAAAAATTTGTGCAACAGCATTTCAAAAAATTCAAGTTCAGATTGATAAAAAAATCTTAAGGCATTAGCGGAATTTTAATAAAAATAGGAATATTTGTCCAGCTGAGCCATCAATTAAGCACTAACAGTTCATTAATATTAACTGTTTGACCGCCATTGTCAATAGCACCGAAATGATATAAAGCGTATATTACAATATTTATTTATTTTATTAATTATAAATTATTTTCGTTAACAAATTTTGCGTAATTAATTATATCCGCCAACTCGGTTTTTTGCTCGGAGGTACAAAAGTCATTTTCAAAATAGAAGATGCATTGCTGAAATTCATCAAATCCTCAGCTGAATGATTCAGGCACGTACAGCGTCTTGATTTGCAAACATTGTATCGGCAAGGATCTTTAAATACTGTGTGATCTTTATTTTTAAATTCATCATTTGATCTTTTAACCGAAGCCTTTGAAGATTCAGATGTCATTCTTCTTGAAGGTGAATTTGAAACGGGTCTTTTTATTCTTGTAGGTAATTTCATAGTGCTCTTGCCTGTCTGGCTGTTTGTATGCGGCTTAGAAAAGGATGTCGTGATAGAATTTATGTAATTTATTCTTTTTTTGTCTATAGGGTCTGCTGAATGTTCTTTTCTTTCAAAGTTGGGTGACAACGTGCGACGAAATTTGGATTCGAAAATATCGGCAGATAAATTAGCTTTTCTTTTTAGTGCAGGGGTTATTTGGTATCGCGAGTCTGAATCTAGTACATCAGCTGATAAATTTGTTTTTCTTTTGCCGTCGGAAGTGAGTTGTCGATCGAGTAATTGATCAGATCCGTGCATTCTTCTGTCGCTGCGATCTCCTATCTTTCGTGGCAACTTGCTTCGACTTTGTCGTGAAGGTCCGTCTATTGTTTGGCTAATTTTTTTTTTAAATTTCGCGTCAGATTTATTTATTTTCAAATTTGAAATATTTGAAAATCCTATAGTGTCTATGTCAACAGGTTTACTAACAATTATTTTTATTGGGGGACGACTTTTAGCTGTTGACTTAGTCGAAACAGGTTCTCTTCTTGACGACTGTGGATCAGTTCTTTTGTAATTTGGTGAAATTTGAGAAAGACTTTCATGACTAGAGGGTCGAGTCATGATATTCAAACTCTGTTGTGAGTCAGTCTGTACCGCTACGCATGTAGTAGTTTTTATTTGAGCAATTTTTGTTGGAATTGGTATTTTAGATAGTCCCGAGTTATTAATCTTTTGGCGAGTAGTTTTTACATTTGCATAATCTTTGTTTTTCATTTGATTATATTCATCAATATCATTATGAAAGCCTGAAAAGTCGCTTCTTGTTTCATACCACTCACTCATAGATATTTCACTGTTTGTTTCTTGCCAGTTTTCTTCACTTATTGGACTATCTTTTTCTAAGTTAGTTTTTTGTTTTGCTTTTAAAGCGGATTTTTCAAATGACTTTTTATCGTTTTCGGACTGTTTTTTTTCGGCAAATTTATTAGATGTTACACTATTTTTTTCGTTGCTGGTCAATTTTTTTTGTAAACTTTTGGTTTTTTGAATTAGTTTTTCATGATCGATTAAGTTGTTTTTAATTTCGTTTTCTTGTTTATTTGTCACATCACCTACCCCTATCTTATCGCTGTCGTTATCATCATCGTCCATTTCTACAAAGGGAGTTTCTTTTTTTACTGATTTTGTCGTAGTGTCCGATTTCGATTTAGCTTCGTTCACAAAAGTTTTTTGGTTACTGTTGGCTATATCGTTTTTTCTTATATATGAAACATTGTAAAGGCTCATTAAGTCATTTTCTGTTTTGACTTCTGTTTTTATGATGAGAACATTGTCTATTTCTTTTATTGCTACGATTTCTTTTATTGGCTTTTTGCTTGGGGTTATAATTTCTTCTGTCACCACATTTTTGTCCGAGAAAGTTTCCGATTCAATTTTGTTTAATTCCTCGACGTTTATGCTCGCTAAAATTTTATCATCTTTGAATACTGGATTTTCTGTTTCTGGTTCTAATTTTTCACTCCAGTTTTTAGTTGTTTTATTTTTGCTGTCTTTTATTTCCACAGATTTTCTTGATTCAATAGTTGAACTTGTTAAACTTGTTTTACGGTTATCATGAGGTTTCGGTACATTTATTTCTGAGGTTGGTTTCACTGTTCTAGAAACTGAAAGACGTTTTTTATTTTCTGACATTAACAGTTGACTGTCATTGTTTAAGACTTTAGGTGACTCTTTGTTCTTGATTTTATTTGTACTATCATTTTGCATTGTTTTCGGTTCAACTAATTTTGAAATGCTTACTTTTCTGTCAGAATCTGATAGTTTTGCTCTAATTTTCAATTGATTTTTATCAAGTTCAGATCTTTTAGTTAGAGAAAGTGAATTTATTTCTTTTTCGTTGTCTTTCTGTTTTTTCTCTGACTCATTTGCTCCTGCTTTGCTTTCTATAAATTTTCTCGCATTTTCTCCATTTGTTTCAGATTTATTATCATTCAAATTTGTAGGTTCAAATTTTTCTTCTATTGTGGAATTTTTTTTTGTTATTGAATTATTAGAGATGTTGGTTGAATCTAATGATTCTTTTTTTTCTGTATGAATCCGATTTTGTTCATTTAATTTTATTGTTGTAAACTCGTTTGCTGTTAAATTAGGTTTAGGTTTTTTCTGTAGTTCAAATTTATTTTCATTTCCAGAGTTATCTGCGGTAATTGATTGATCTGGAGATGTTGTGTCCAAATGAATATTTTCTTTTGTTTTTATTGTTGTAGATTCATTGGCTCTTAAATCAAATTCACACCTCGAATCATCTAGCTTATTTGAATTTTTGTCTGATTCAGAGTTATTGACATCAACTCTTGTTTCAAGTGAATGATGGTTCTTGTTTTTTTTTTGATCAATGTCAATTTTTGTTTTCTCCTCGACATTTGAATTTTTGTTTTCTGTGTTTGTGATTATTTCTGCCTCATTTTGTTTTTCAGGTTTCGTTGAATTTTTTAACGCTTTATTGTCTGATTTTTCATTGGTTTCCAACTTTTTGTTTTTTTCTTCTAATTTTACTGACGCTTCCGATTTTTTTTCTTCTTTCGCCTCTACGTTTTTTATGTTTGCTTCTGAATTATTGTTTACTCTTTGAGCGTTTTGCTTGTCTTTGGTTTTTTCATTTCTTGTTTCATCTTGTGTTTCAATTTTATCAGAGTATTTAGGTATTTCGGTTTTATCGGGATTTACGGTTACTTCAATTTTATCTGAGTTTCTAGATATTTCAGTTGTATTTGCATTTTTAGACATCTGAAATAAATTCACTGTTTTGTGTTTTTCACTTTCATCTGAGTTTGTTGAATTGCTTGTTTCGGACAGTATATTACTTTTTAATTGCTCTGGTCTCGCTTGTTCTGCTGGGATATCTGCTTCTTTTTCTTTAACAAGTGATGAAGTTTTAATTAAATTACTGCTGTTCTTTTTCATTCCACCATCGTTCTCTAAACTCATATCTGTTATAGTATCCTTGTTTATTTCATTCGCTTCAGTAATCAAATCGTTTTTCTCTGTAGTTGATGAATTTTTAAAATCATTTCTTTTAGTTAGATCCGTTACCGTATTTGAATCTTGTTCTGAATATTTTAAATCATTTACAGTTTTAGAACCGTTGGTAATGCTCTGCTTGTTATTATTCACCTTGTCACCTAATTGAGGTGATTCAGTTTCTCGATTGCTTTTTGGTAGTTTATCGAAGGTATCATTTATATGATCCGTTTGCTTAGCTTCTGATGTCTCAACATTTCCAACGTTACTCTTTTTTACAGGGGCATCTCTTTGTTTATTATCCGATTTATTATCATTTTTTATGTTTCTTGAATTTTCATTTTCTGATTGAATGACATCCTTACGATTGGTTTGTTTACCACCCGTCGTTTCAACAGTTTCAATTTTATCCTTTTTTATAGCGTAACCTTTTTCTATATCATCTGATTTTTTGTCATTTTTTAAATTTTTTGAGTTTTCGTTGGCATCTTTACGATCGGTTTGTTTAGCACCGGTCGTTTCAACAGTTTCAACGTTATCTTTTTTTGTAGCAGCCTCTTTTTTTGAATCGTCAGATTTATCGTCATTTTTTGTGTTTGTTTCACTTGAGTCTTTTTTTTCTAGTTCATTTTTGGAATTTATATTTATTGACTGAACGGTATTTATACCTTCGGAATTTTCAATTTTAGAATCTGTTTCATCAGTAGGAATT